AAGCAGACTCTCTGTTTCTGTTGTTCTCGACAAAAAACAGAGCAAAACAAATAGAAAGAAGAAAGAAGAAAGAAGAAAGAAGAAAGAAGAAAGAAGAAAGAAGAAGAAGAAGAAGAAGAAAGAAAGGAAACTCAGAGAAGCATACCTGGTTTTTCAGATGGCAGAAACTTGATGAAGAAGACTATGGCACAGTAATCGCGAGCCCTAATCGTGACCTTTTTTCAGAAACTTGGCTGCTCTGTTGTTCGAAGTTGAAGAAGAAAGAAACTTCTGAGAGTCAAGCCCTAATCACGACCTTTTTTCTTAAGTCTTTGCCCTTTTTCTTTTTTCTTTTTAAAAAAGCGACGCTTCAGTCGCCTCTCGCCACACTGTCGCCTCTCGCTACACAAACAAAGGCGATCGCTTTATGTAAATCGCAACGCAACAGATAAAAGAAGCGATACAGTCTCGCATCGCTACGCTACTCGCTATTAGCGACGTAGCGCTCGCTATTTACAACACTGATACTTGTCAGGGAAAAAATTCTGGATGTAGTATACTGTTTGCTAGAATTATATGCATTGTATTTACATATGTTACCTTCTCACTAAAAAAATGTATTATATTTACGTGACAAATTAACAGGAGTATTTAAAAATTAGTTTGATTTTGAAAAGATTGGGATTCTTTCTGATAAACAGTGTGTATCTGCATACTAGCTGCAAAATGCTAGGGCCTATCGGCCTAAGATTCTTGAATACTATCCACAACTAAAAAAAGCAGCTGATGATATTCTGGACATAGTATACCGTTAGCTGGAATTGTATGTGTTGCGTTGCTTGACAAATTAACAGCATTTTTTAGAGCTTAGTATGATTTTGAAAAGACTGAAATTCTTTGTGATATACAGTGTGTATCTGTATACTAGCTATAGAACACTGTGTTTTAAGACTGTGTCCACATTATCACTTAAATATTATAGTTCTAAAATTTTCTGGTCAATTATATTCTCATGGATTAGTTTTTTTATTTTTTGAGAATTTATTCGCATAGATTGTTTAGATATATCCATGGATTAGTTTTTTTTATTTTTTGAGAATTTATTCGCATAGATTTTTTAGATATATCCATTTGCTTGCATGTGCTCGGGAAAGGACACTTTCTTTTGTCCTGCTGTGCATTTAGCTTTCTAGTTTTGCTTCTTTGACACCTTTTTTTTACTACTTTACGTTTACCTTGACACTTCAAAAGAAGGTGTTTTACAGATTTTCTTCTATGGCTAAATCTCTCCTAACGTACCTTTCGTTGTGTCTCTACTGACTCCAATTTAATCTTTGTCAGGAAACATGCGAAAATCTTGAGGATGCGAGCAACGAGCTAATTCTGACTGATGAAGAGATAGTGCGCTTCCAGATAGGGGAAGTTTTTGCTCACGTACCAAAGGAAGAAGTGGAGAGCAGGATAGAGAATATGCAAGAGGTCACTGCCAAGAACTTGGAGAAACTAGAGGAAGAGAAGGAATCAGTAGTTTCTCAGATGGCTGAACTGAAGAAGATATTATATGGGAAATTCAAGGATTCAATCAATCTTGAGGAGGACTAGTAAAATTTCATAAGTTTTGCTTACTGCTTAAGTGTGTAACTTCGTTGGATTTGCTGTTTGTTGAAGGGTGTTCCTCTTGATTGGATTTTTCCATGTCTCGTGTCTTAAACAGTTGAGATTTTTAATTCCTCAACAACATTTTAAACATGCAGGTCTATGTTTTCTGCTCCTTTTCTTTTCCCCCTTACTTTTATTTCAAGTTTTGCTTATTTGTTAACAAGTTAACAAACGCAAGCCTTGTCAATTGGTACTGTTGGACCAGAAATCTACTTTGAATCCCGAAACCAAAGTAAAAGTAGAAACAAAACAAAAGATGCCTAATGCACCAATTCAAAGAATTGCATTGCGATTAAGCACTTCTTTCTGGATTAGTGCGACTTAGCTATTGAGAAACAAAGCGAAAAATGATCGCCAAGCAGAGTTGACAATTGGATATCCGAATATATTTTCTGCTTTTTATTCAAATTTGGTAAGATTATGAAAGAATTTTTTTTTTTAATAATTTAAGAAATTTACATAGACAAATGCCTCTCTCTTGCGCTTTATCTATTTAGCAATTTCTTTTTTTTTTTCTATTTATTTAATTTACAGGCAACCCATCCCCGTCAAGTTATAAAGATAAGTTATAATTTAGTGAGTTACAGCCGAAGACAAAAACGGGAAGATAGGGAAAAGGAGAAGATTAATAATCATTTCACTCCACTTTCAATCAAGAGGTTGTGAGTTCGAGTCACCCCAAGAGCAAGTTGGGGAGTTCTTGGAGGGAAGGATGTCGAGGGTCATTTGGAAACAGCCTCTCTACCCAGGGTAGGGGTAAGGTCTGCGTACACACTATCCTCCCCAGACCCCACTAGTGAGATTATACTGGGTTGTTGTTGTTGTTGTTATTGTTTCGCCTATTAATACTATTAAAAAATATAAAAATATTCTTTTTATTAGTACATGGATATCTACAAAGCAACTTCCACTATGATAAAAACATGAGGATAAATATACAGGAACATAGATGAAGGGAACTAGTAATATTGGGGATAAGAGAGCCATATAAAATAGTCCAAGTAATATGATACTTTACTCTTTAACACCGTTGCTTAACGTAAACAAATTGTAGAGGAGGTCTTTTCCAAATCGACTAGATTAAATGTACGTTAATTTTTTCAACATAGACTATACATCAGTGTATCCAAACTAGAAAATCAGAATTTCTAAACCCCACCTACCAATATATTGTTCCTAGGCCACGTTTTCCTTTACTGCAGATATTAAAATCTTGTATAGAAACTCAATAATAATAACACCCACAAGGGCAGCAGAAGCCATACCCCACATACAAATTTCCCAAAATTATCTCCCCAGCTTGCTGCAATACCCCATCACATTTCTTGAACAAAAACTGCAGTTTTAGCATCAAGAAAATCCCAAAAAAAAGGAAGAAGAAAAGCTTCTTTCAAGATTCAGAAAATGGCAATCATTTCAGCTTCTGCTGCTGCTACAACTCTTTCTCTATCCCTTACAGCAAAACCCATTTCATCTTCTTCTTCTTCTGTGTGTGTTTCAACAGCAAAGATTCCAACTTTATGTTCCTCTAGCTCACTCTTCTTCAACAGCAAAAGGGTACAGTTTGTGGGTCCAGCTAGAAAAGTAACGAGCAGTGCCAAAAAGGGTTTTTCTTGCAATTGCTTATTTGGGCTCGGAGTGCCTGAGCTGGTGGTGATTGCTGGTGTTGCTGCCCTTGTTTTTGGGCCCAAACAGTTGCCTGAAGTTGGCCGTACTATTGGCAGGACTGTCAAGAGTTTCCAACAGGTTACATTTTCTGACCCAAATTTTTGTCCTTTTAGTGGATAGATAATTAAATCAAGAAATATTTTGCAAAATCAGGTCATTATTAGTTAATTACATGTAACATTCTGTGATTAGCAGAAATTAGTAATTAGTAATTTGATAAAAATGGTATCTGACTTGCTATAATAGGTAAAGTTTACGCTGTCTGTGTATATAACTTTAGTAGTACTTGAATCAGCTATGAATGACTCATCTGTGCCTCAATCCCAAATAGATAATTCACCTACCGGAAATAAAATTTAGAGATTTAATAACTTAAGGAAAACTTGAACTTTTTAGGTTTTAGGATGGTGGTATTTCATTAAACGTTTTGGTCAAAGATCAAGTTTTTTCTTTTAGTTTTGGATATGAATATGGCATAATTATGGGATGGAGGATCTTTTGGTTTATTTACATTGATAGTTTTTGGGTCTGATTGGTATGTTCCAAGTTGACTTCGGAAACGAGTTTAGTCGCTTGTGGGTGAAATTAGCGAAGGCTAAAAGGTGGAGAAAAGGAATTGGAACCTCTGATCGACCTAGACACATAAATAGCTCTTGTTGTGGGTATAGATTTGAGATTTGTAAGTAGCTGAACAAGTTCTTTCTAAGAATGCCATTGCTAGGAAGAAGAAATTGAAATACAGCCACTTGTGCTGGTTGTAATACTCTCTCCTTCCCAATTTGGCGGTGTTTGATTAGGCACGGAGTTTAAGAAAGAAATGAGACTTTTGAAAGCTGTGGTCTAAAACAAACCATAGATTTGTGTGGCTGTAAATCAATTCATTAAGGGTAAAGTAGGATTTCTAAAGCTAAATTATTTCTAGATAAGGAAAGATGGCATTCTTTTTGGAACTGACTAAAAAGGAAAGAACAAACAACAACAACAACAACAACAACAACATATCCAGTATAATCCCACATAGTGTGGTCTGGGGAGGGTAGTGTGTACGCAGACCTTACCCCTACCTTGTGGAGGTAGAGAGGCTATTTCCAATAGACTCTTGACTCAGGAAAGCATAAACACCACAACAATAAAAAGAAAAACAATACGGGACAAGACATAAATTGGGACGGAGGGAGTGGATGTTTGGACTTTTTGATTTCTTTTGTTCTTCCAATAGAGGGAGAAAATGGCTTTTCTCCTTTTCCACTGTCATTTTGCTTGTGAGAGAGGCCTATACTTCATAAGATAAACTCTTATGACTCTAGAAATTACTTTATATGGTGTAGTCATTAATTCTGCATTTGGTTCTACTGACCTAGCTAGAAAAGGAGGCATTGTATGTTGGAATCAATACAAATTCAAATGTTATGCATGTGCAAGAGAAAGGAAAACGAACTATCAGATGGCTGCTATAAGCTTACAAAGCAAACCTCAACCTTTAGGATGAGAGTTGTAAAACCAGAAAAAGAGCATATAGATAAACATAATGATGTTAGTGCACCTGGAATCTCATAGGAAGACCTCTAGAAGTTACTTTAATCATCAGGCTAAGATGCACGTAGTTTTTTCAAGTTCATTGAGGGCAATCAAAATGCCTTTTGATCGTGAGATAAGTTTGGCACTTCATTTGTTTTTTTCAAGTGCATATTATTATTACTAACAAGCTCTTATCAAAGTTTGAGTTGGGCATAATTCAGAGTTGAAAATCTTTGATCATAATCAGAAGATACTGATCCTAATTGATAGTGCAAATATATTGGTAATGAATTGGTGTTTCTATATAATGTGCTGGACTTCCATCACGCTTTAGATTTTTAGCTTTAAGATGTTGTCGATGAAAAACTTCATGAAAACGAGGAAAATCATGGGAAAGTTCTGTGAGCTATTGTGGTGGTGGGTAGAGTGCAGGAGCAGTTAAAATTGCACGTATTTTTGCTTGGCTTCAGATGTCCTGTATTTCAAGTAGGGGTTTTGGCGAAAGAATTTATTGTCTGGTGAAATATTTGCACATCATGTGCATGGAAAACCGCATTCTTGAATACTGACAGATATCTTACATAACCTCCTGCCTGGAGAAGGGCCCAACTCAAGAAAAAGCAGGTCTTGAAATAAAAACCACATTCAATTTCTTCAAATGATGGGAAAATGGTAAATGCTGCCAATCTGTAGTTCAAGAAGACTTCACCTGCTAAGTGCTGAGATAATCAGTAAAGACTTGTATGAAATAGAGATGCTCCCATCCTACATTTCTGTGTCGTTCCACTGGTGTAGGAAGATATCTTTATTGACGACTTTACATAAGTAGGTTAGCACTTATGTGTTATATTGGAATAATTTAATACTCTTTTTATCATCTTACTTTTGGTTCTTTTTTTTTTAAGGCTATAGATAATGGAAAGATAGTAGCTCCAATTTTGTCAGGGTTGCCCTGGAACTTCATCTCTTCTTGATTCTTATTCTCTGGAAATAATGTCTTTTTTCTCCCTTTAGTGGGAACAGGGGAGATGCTTTACATAATCTCTAACATATCTCATAATATAGGCGGCAAAGGAGTTTGAAACTGAGTTAAAAAAGGAGCCAGAAGCCTCTGCTGAGCCCCCAATGGAAAAGGCCATAGAGGCTAGTCAAGAAGAGAAGCAAGATGCTACGGTCTCAAGCACGAAGGAGAGCTCATAAAACCACAAATGAAGTTTGCCTCCGCCTATAGTTGCTAGTTTTTTTGTTCCTACAACAGTCATTTATTGTATTTGACTCAGTAATGTTTGAGGCGTTGTATTTGATTTACATACCCGGGTTCCCTCATTGACAGCTTAAGATTATATAACTAGGTAACTTAACCATGCCTTAGCTCCAGTTCTTCATCAACAACAGGAACAACATTTTGATTTTCTTACATTTTCCCACATTTTATTTTTCATTCTCGAACTAATTAATTCAAATAGGATCCAGTAAAAGCAATTAGCGATAACCTTATGTTGCCTCATAAACCAAAATTGCTTCTAGATTGTCTATACCTCTGTGCTATTGAAGTCAACTCTTCGATGGTCCTATTCAACATTTTAATAACTTTTTTTTTATTTCTACATAAACAGCTTCCTATTTGGATTACTTCTTTCGTCGTTGTTAAAGCGTGTTAGGAGTTTATATCGGTATTTGGTATTAATTTTCAAGAACTTCTTTAGATTAGTGCATATTACTTTTACTTTTGAATGCGTTCATTATTTAAATTTGAAAAAAAATCAAATTTAGCCAGATTTACAACTGATAATTGAAAAATGAGTTTCAAAAGTAATCGAAATTTAGTCACTTTTTCATGTAAAAATAAGATCTTTCTTAAAAATATACCACCATTGCTTTTCTCGCTTTATAGGTTCATGTCCCTTGCTTTACATGTATTGCTTGGTCAATTTAGCACAGACAGTAACACTTATAAATCATGCAGACTATACACAACCAATCCTTCAACTCAAACTACTTTTACACACATGAACCAGTAAACTCATTTTTCTCATTCACCCAAGTCTATAAATAAAGCCTACCAAATAAATTATCTTTTCTACAATCAAACAAAAACTACTACCCCTCACCCCCAAACTAATTACAACTGTCTGTATGAATTCCGTACCATAAGGGAAAAAGAAAAGTCTATAAATGTGTAATTGTGCTATTACAGTAGAGAAACACTATGTTGGCTTCCAGTGTTGCTGGTATTGCCTCATTATGCGCTCCAGAGCAATACCACAATAGGCAAAATGTTACAAAATTTTACAACCTNTTGTTTGACCATCCAGAACAGATCTTTGTACATCATCAAAGATCCGTACCATTCTAAGCAAGATTTGTATCAATCTATGTTACCTGTACAAGGGGATAACCTCATTGCGTTAGCCACTGCAAGCCCGCATATACCCAGAAAAAGAAACCTGCTTTACATCCCAGCTAAATCCCAACTGGTGAGTTCACGTGCTAATCAGCAGTTGCTGGTTCTTCCGGTTACATCTGCTGGGGATTTTTTCAGGATAGTCAGCACTACGTATACGTACTGTTTAGAGCTACTTCTTTGTAATATCTGTTTCACAATCCAATGCCTGCAGCAACCCCACCACCATCCCTCAGCCCCTGAAGGTACGCATGCAGTGTTCTCTGAACACTGTCTGCTACAACCCTTAACCTTCCCTGATTGGCATCACCAGCAGAATTCCCATTCACTTCTACTGTTCGAGCCACCCTTTGTTTGCATCTTTCCCAGTCATCAACCCTCAGCCAGCATGCTCGTCCACCATGGCTTCCCTCCATTCCCAGAAACAATACATTCGGGTTCTCACCAAACGCATATCTCAACCTGACAGACACACAGTAAGGCAACCACGCAGCACCACCAGCAGCGTTAATATGAGGTATGTGTGCATGATCAAGAACAACCGTCAGCGCAAAATCGACAGAATTATGAGCCCGATCATAGTGAATGTTGCTTTTGGAAGCAGATGTATTTTCTGAGCTACCATCAATACTACATCCAGCATGATTCTCAAGACACAATTCAATACGGGATTTTTGTGTAGGGACCATATCACCCCCTTGCACTTGAGACAACCCTTTCTTCCATGCAATGAGTTTCAGGAATTCTCTCAAAACTGAAATAGGTAACGTCAAAAGTGTAATGAATGATGCAACACGAGAAGCGTCATATGGCTCTGATGCAACACGACGGCTGAAGTAATCACATATTTCTCCTATTTCCGCTTGTGTTAATTCCTCTTGGGCACTTCCGGGATTTTGCTGCTGCTGCTGTTGCGACTGATGAAACCTCTTGACACTAATAACTTGCAGGAGAAGCTGAACCCTGTGAACACTAACAGCAAATACATAGCCCCTGCGGCAACAACTCCTTTCAGAATAGGAACTCAAGATCACAAAAATAATATATGCCCAAAAGAACCATATAAACTAGCTAACACCCAAGCGATTGTCAGTAGAATATATTAAAGCAGCAGTAAGTTTTCTAGACATAAGAGTTCACCAGCAAAAACTTCACAGATATTTCAATGATGGAATATAATTATTCAGATTATACATTTAAAAAGCACCAAGCTTTCTAGCCAACAGATACAGAGTGTTAACAGGTTAGATTGTTTAGATGCTAAGCAGATCAAGTTGTACATCAAATACAGTATACTAAACGAAATTATGTGAAACTAAAATGGACAAAACTCTCAGGTGAGAAATTATAAACTGGGCTTAGACAGAGTTCAGCCAGGGCATATGGTTCTAAATGGAAAAGCCAAGAGTACAAAAACCAAAAAGAAACACGGTATGAACATTGTACCCATACTCTTCTTTCACAGTAAACTCGCCTGACTCCTAAAATATAACATTAGAAAGAGCATGAAGCCACAATAAAAATAAACCCGCAAAAGATTCGGATATTTATCCGGGGGGTTATAGAATCATTTCTTGACCTCTACTAACACGCTCCAACTAAACTTGCATGTGAAAAATTACAAGGATGTGGAGTTCTATGTCCAATTACGCCCCATATTTCTCACAACCTCGAAGAAATATTAATACCCCTAGATTGTTTCCAGCGTATAAGACACTGCACAAGCCAAGAAGTTTTCTCAATGCAACAAAAGTGACATCTATTATGGACAGCATAAAATTAGTAAATCCATTCCCAAGTTTTAAGGTCCTCTTCCATTCCCAAGTTCTCTACACTACTAAGCAGTCAGCAGGAGAATTGGACAGGGATTAAATACAATACAGAATGATTGGAACCTTACCCCACAAAAAAGCGTAAGGCTGGCTGCTCCTGATCCAAATTCAACAATGCACCTTCATTATCCTTCAGAATTGATCCCAAAATCTCCTTCAGAAGGTCCGGTAACTGAGCAAAGAGCCACAGCACCCCAAGGTATTTTAGAATGCCTCTGAGAACCTTCTTGAGAGCAACAAGAGGAACCCATCCACCACCATACCCTCCATCATCGCCAAGTCCAATAATTGCAGTATTTAGTTCTCCTCTGACATGAGCAGGTACACCAGTACCAGGTGGTCTGCGCAAAGGCATCCCTGCATTCACCACTGCTAAGTTCGATGCTGCGGGTAGGCCATTTGCAGTACGGTTGAAAGCAGTTACAGCATTTGCCGGACGAACTAATCCAGTAGAATTAGAGAGATTAGTCCTGTTCGTATTTGCAGCTGGAAGTTGTGAACCAGCATTTAAACTATTTGAGTTAGTCAATCCAACTACTTGTTGAGAACCAGTAAAGTTAGAATCAATTCCATTCAGCTCCTGGGCAACATGTTCCATGATGAAAGGTCGAAATTGTGGACATGGCAGTGATCCTCCAACTTCTGGCCCCCCTTTAGGCGGTGTTGCTGGTTGCAACCAAACCTGATCTCCAGCAAAACACCTCATATCAACAGCAAATTTTTTCCGATAAATGATGCGAATCCAGTACGGACCACGAAGTACCACAGAGACATCTATGGGCAACAGTGAGCTAGGAACAATGCCAGGACCACCTCTTCCTGCAGCTGCCGCAGCAGCTGCCAACATTGCAGCATTAGGATGGTGCATGCCAAGTGCACCCACAGTAGCTGAAACCGGATTAACTCCAGGTCCGGGTGCAGGCTGATTTATGCTAGTGTTTACATTGCTTGGTAAAGATGGAACATAACTAGTCTGCTTTGCAACAGAAGACATAGGCGCTGTAACACCAGGAACACCAGAAACTGGAGCTGCTCGTGCCGGCCGCGTTGCAGCAGCAAGAGCATGCAATGGTCCTGCAGTGAGACGGATGCAGTCCAAAAGGGATGCAACTTCAGCACCATTGATGAAATCTTCAAGAAACTGTGAGTTCGTCAACCACAGTAAATTAGAAGTCATTATGAATTGGAACCACAACGGAAGTTTTGAGCTTAAAATATGGAGAAGTCTGACAAAAGGATTAAATAAGATAGAATGCAATGCCACCACATGCAAAATCTTTCACAGGAATTCCATAGCTTAAACCACAATAACATAACCAACCAAAGTATAGATTCAAGCTCTCAAGAAAACTCCAATTATAGGATCATATGCATTTTAAGGCTCATTGTATTGCAGACAAGAAAAAAAAGACAGGAGAAAAACCGAACATGTTATACGTAATAAAATGGAAAGCAAACCTTTGTATGTGGCCAAAGCTGATCAGGTGAAACATGCATTGTGCAGCCCTCTTTACCCGATTCCCATTCAACCACGAAGCGAGCAAGCACCCCAGAACCAAAGCTGAACCACAGACTCATCAGACCTACTGCCTCAATTCTGAATTGCTTTCTCATCTGTTCGGAAATTCTATCAGTTGCATCAGAAGCGCCTTTAATTGCAGCCGGCGCTTTATTTTCGGAATTTGCATTACTATCTTCAAACTTTTCATCAGCCCTAGCACCAAGCAATTTTCGCATTCCAAGCGCAAAAGTTCGAGCATTAGATAGCCTTTGGATATCAGCCACTAGCTTCTTTATACTATCAGCATTAACTGAATAATAGCTCAACACAACACCTTCAGAATCATAACGAATATGAGAGTCTGCATCAGATGTATTGGCAATCCGAACACCAGAACCCCATGGAGTACTATTGCTTCCTTTCTGAAGCTCCCACAAGTCCTGGAAGTGCTGGTCATTAATTTTCACATCCCAATACATACTTCCAGGTCTACCTAGCCGCAAGCATATATGCTGCCATGCATCATCTCTGGCAAATGGAACTCGGAACCATAAGTTTGAGGATGCACTTCTAAGACCCACTTCTTCGACATATGGGATTTCAAGTGCCTCCATCTGACTCGTAAGCCGGGCATGTTTGATACAAAGTGAGCAATGCCTGACTACATGCAGAAGGGAAGAAACATATATACTAGAAGGTGCATTCCCTTTATTAGCTTCAGCGATAAGACTGCCATAGCTATACTCTTCAGCTTTACCAGAAATATCTGAAGAAATAAGCATCAGTGACTTAGGTAGATGAGTGCCAGACTCCACAAGTTTCCTTCGCTTATGTGATCCTTCATTGGACTCCATTGCTTGAAGTGATGGAAGTGAATCCAACAAATCTGACAATGTACGCTTCCTTGGTAAAATGTTATATCTGGAAGCTGCATCTTGCTCTGACTGTGTACATGTTGCTGAATCTATTGCTTGGGCTGGCAAAAAAAAGGGAATGCAATTTTGAGACACGTGCATAAAAAATAAACATGCCCAGTGAGCATTAAAAAAATGGATGGTAAGAGCTATAACAGATAGATGTAACATGTAACATACACAACGGTGTAAAGATATATAAACAACAAACTCAGAGGTTATTTGACTTACATCCAGGACTTAAAACCAATGAGTTAGACTCAGAAGTCCTGAAACCAACCGGTACAGTTCCCACAGCAGAGTTTCTTGGAGCACTAGCTTTTCCACTTAATGCAGAAGCTGGAGGGCAAGCTCGTTGTGGTGGAGATAGGAGTCGAGCTGGTCGGTTTGTAGATACAGTCAGCTGGTCTTCATCCAATGACGTATAAGATCCAGCTCCTGCAGAATGAGGTGATCTGAGAGAAGTCAAATCTTGCTCAGACTTTGAAGCTGTCAACTTTTTCACAGTTTGACTCCTTCCTGGAGCCGTGGCTAATGATCCAGCCGAACCTGACTGTATCACGCCCTTGTACATGGAGCTACTGTAGTTTCCTGTTCCCCGATCCCACTTAGGGGACAGTGTTCCAACTTTAAGACACTGATAATTTGCAACACCAGAGCCCAAATGAGATGCAGGAGAAGCACCAAATGTTGACGGGGGAATTTGACCGGAGAAAGAAGGGACAGAGGACCCTTTCTCAAGTTCGAAAATTTCATCAACAATAGAACAAAATGTTGATGGCGCACTGGAAGAAACTAGAGATCTTTCCAAGCTGAAATCCGCAAGGAGACTACTTTCAGATGTTTGGTGACTGCCACCATCACTAGGTAAAATTGATAGCAGTTTCTTGCTGTTGAGAAGACTCAAATTGAGCTCGTCCTCACATATCTGCATCCTACCAACGTCAACAGTTTTTACACGAACCACGTTACTCAGATCAGCAAGAGATTGAGCTTTTTCTGGTGTATCTGACTGACTTTCTAGCAATTTGAACACAGGTTTGAAATCTTTGTCAAGTTCCATCAGCAAAAGGTATGAGCTTCCACATTCAGGAAAACCCATAAGCAACAAATTTGTACCACAAGAAATGCTCTTTGGCACCTTAACTGCTGCAGACCCATGTTCAAATACCTGTGGATATATATCAGATAATCATTTAAAAAGCTCATCAGATAACCAGTAAATAAGCTAAATGATTTCTAATTGAACTCCTAAATGCAAACACCAAATTTTGATCCAGCCAATGCATCTTAAGTACATATGCAACAAGATAAAAAGATCAAACAAAATGCTCTAGAAAGTACAATATTCCTGATATAATGGCAATTCATAATCAAGCTATGGGAGAAGCAAAGCCATGTCAAGGCAAACTGGCTTTCTCTCAGATTAACACGAGGAAGTGGAAAGAGGAGAGAAATTTTCAAATATATTTTTAGTAGGGAGGTTTGACCATCGGGTCGGATAATCAGAGACAAAGTGAGAAGCATGGAGAAGGTTTAGAATATCACAGTTGGTGTGAAGGTCTCCTTGGTCGGAGACAATTTCATCAAAGTCAAGGCAGGCGAGTCTGAAAGAAGGATCTAACAGACTGGGAGGAAAAAAGAATATGGTGTTCATAAATATATGAGGGAGGCCCACCATTACACCTTTGGTGCACATATTTGTTCTGGAAAAATCAGAGAGCATGGTGATCTTCTCGACACTGATATCCAGCGATAAGATGTGAACAATGTACCCAAGGCCCAAGGTTGAACCTAGCAGTTGATGTAATCTTTAATAAAGTTTTTTTATACGGATAATCTTCCTAATAAAGCGTAACAATAACTACACGTCCACGCAACCTAATACTTAAGCACAACCTAAATGAAGTTAATACTATTCCTGAATGTTAAAGGAAACCAACTAAATAAAAATACAAGACAAAGGAATACTAAATATAACAGTAAAGCATCTAGAATAAGAAGCCTTCGCTCTCCAAATGGATAAACAGAATAATCTAATAGCCAAAAGACAAGGAAAAAAGAGATAAAAGATCCATCCATACCTCAAGACCTAAGAACCTCCCAATGCACGCGAACAAATGTAAAATGCTTTTGCTTCTCAAGCTAATAAAAGCGTCAGCTGCTGACATACTTCTCTGGTTTAGGGCCTCTTCACACTCAACAACCACTAATGATGATATAACATTCTTGGAAGAGTGAAGAATGAAGTGGCCATTCCTGGAATATGAGAAAAATTAAGACTTCGCAGGAAAAATTAGCATTTTAATTCTTGTTTCCTGGCCAGGTTTCTCAAAGAGAGATCCAGACAACGGTGTTTTCAAAGAATGACGCATACATCAGAAGCACTTATAATAGAATCTCCAAAAGGAACTATTTCTAGTCCAATTATTTGATTGATTTGCTCCTTGGTCAAATTATAGGCAATCAGGTAGAATATTTTAACAATATCTGGGATTTCTGCAAATATTGCAATGAACAATCAACATGCAATGTTGTGTAGAAGAGCATCCTAAAAATATATACATGCATATTTTCAATACACTTCACGAAGTAAAGGCTTCTCGGACTCTCCAAAAATATCAAGAAGTGCGTGTCGAATCCTCTAAAAGTAGCGCATTTTTGGAGGATCTGACACAGGTAGGGCATTTTGGAGAGTCCACGCAACTTAGTCTCTAAGCAAATCTGTTTCCTATGTTTTCTTTCCCTTAAATGCCCTAACTATCTCATTATAGTGGGAGCTTTTCGGTCTTCTTATCCAAAAGCTAAACCAGTGTTATTAAAAGTCATTCGCAAACTGGTTATCGCTTCATGGGTGAAGCAATGCACTCTAAGAAGTGTGTGCTTCAAACAATGATGTGTCATCGGTTCATTGAGTCTCAACTTTGAGGAATTAACTTAATATCGGCATTATTGTATATTGGATGTTAAATTTAGTTAGTACTTAATTACAAAATTATTAAAGTACAAACTTCATGAATATTTGGTATTTATAGTTTTCTGTATATTGTGTACATCGCTTCACTCTTTTAGTTTCAAGCCCCATGGACCGTGTCACTTTTTTGTGCTTATCACCTTTTAAAAGATTGAGCTTCTCACCCCACCCCACCCCCGGGTCTCCCCGCCTCTCTCTCAAAGCTTAAGTGCAATCACCAAGGCGTACGGCACATACCTCATCACCAAGGCGTTGTTCTGAAGAGGCAAACATTAAATATTTCACTTAATAAGAATTTTTTTAAATTCCTTTGTCCATACAATTGTCAGTTGTGTCTTTAGTCGTTATTCTTGAAATATGTATGTGCTTTTTATTTAGCTTCATTTGCGCCTTTCTTCACAAAAGGAACGAAAGCGTCACTTTTTTATAGGTTTAGGGTTTAGAGTTTCTTCACAAGCTGATATTCAAAAACCCTACTGTATCATTCAAATTGAAAATTAAGCATGGACGGAGAGAAGCTTTCAAGATGGGTTTCATGGGCTGATGATATATGTCCATGCTTTCCATGAAATAGATATAGTTTCCTGTCCCTGCTAAATCCCATGTCAAAGTTGATCCCAGATGACCCAGAATGTCTTTTTGACAAGCTACTGTGGTTTGACTTTAGGTTTAATGGATTTATCAGTTCTCTGTGTTTTGCTCTAGTATCACCGTTGACGAGGCAGAGAGGGAAAGAAGAGAAGCAGAAGGACAATTGAGATTAGTTTTGGGGAAAAGTCAAAATAGCCCCTCCGATGATTAGCGTATTGTTTTTTATTAACAGCATTGTTCGGGCATCTTGCGGTGCACTTCGACTAAACTTAGGTATAAAGTACTTGCTACATTTTACCAACACAGGTATCGAGTAACTCTACTCACCAAGGCTTAGGCAAGTGGTAAAAAATCACCTAGTGATTTTTGTCTCTTCTGGGATTTGAATCCTGGTCTCCAAGGTTTGCACCCACTTCATTGACCACTAGGCCACAACCTTGGATATTGCCCTACTATTAATATAATATTACATTGTTTTTTTTATGAAGTTATATTATTATATTGTTAGCGTGCTAGTCTGGCTTTTTAAAAGAATATGTCAACCTCCATCTCAAAAAGAAAAGGTCAACCTGTCATTTCACAAACCAATTTAGATAAGGAAACATCAACAATTGAAACTTTTCTTCTTTCGGTGTTTTCCATGTGCAAACCCACAGAAAAACATCCTTGGTCCTTTCAAACAATAACCTTTCTGCCCCTCATCCTCAACAAAAAGTTGGTCCAGGCATTCTGCACCCATGGGCATACGGCTTGGCAGGCCTTCCATTTCTACCGCAGCTTCATAGGCATTGCCCTGTTAACCAATCAGCTGTTTGGACGGGTAAAGATAGAGGGAAGACGAATAACAAGCTGGGATCAGTTTTGGTTCCTTTTCCTGAAGAAAAGGGGTGGCTTCGCAAGATGAAGAGCAAACTTGAGGTGCAGTTATGTTTTTCAGGTGAGAAACTGTATGGCTGACCCAAGAAAAAGATTATCAGAGACTTGGCAGACCAAACTCAGCAAAAATTTGAACTAGTAGCAGGGTTGTTCGAAGAAGTCCAGTGTTGCAATTGGTTTCCCAATCTTAATAGAAGATAAGGATTCCAACCCTTGTCTCACCAATGCTCATTTTAATTTCATGCCAATACTTGGTGGCACATAATTAGAGCACAGATACCAGCAATTTCCATGTTCGTTATAGAAAAAAGTTTAAAAACCAGGTGAAATCAACTTCCAACAATAAAAGAAAAAAAGGATATAACCTTATGTTTATTGCAAGGGTGAAAAACGATGAACCAAAGGCACGTACACGCAGGACTTCCTGGCCCTGATACTCCCTGCTGTCAAACTTGTTATCCTTCTGCAGAGATAAAGCAGTTGGTCAGAAGAAAAGAACGAAAAAGTTAATCACGCAGTATAGTACCAGGAAGTCAAGACTGGAATAGGGGACCTTTCAGGAAAGATTATAAGTGTACTTCGTGACTTATAAATAGCATCAGACCTCAGCTTGGTTGTCTTAAGACATCATACAACTTTATTAACATATGAAAAATCAATCCACCAATAATAACATCAAAGTCGGTCCCATGTCCAGAATTAAGAAGCAATGGCAGCATTTTAACATGAAAAAGAAGAAAAACTCTGAAATCTCCATATTTTGGTTTTCGGTAGGGATGATAGTTCGAACAATAATATGACTCTTTCCATAATCGTAATTGGGCCGCTTCACTATTGCATTTTTGGTAACCATATATGCTCTTTGAAAATAAATTAAAATTAACAACAATGGAGACTGCTGATCTATTATCTCATGTAATTCACTGTTTGCTAGTTTAATAGTATGTCATATCAACAAAGGAATAATTCTATTAGCGAAAAACAACGAAACTGACCTTTGCATACGAATTGTCTACAGTGTCAATAAGTAGACCTTTTTTATGAAGATTGTCATTCAGTAGATGTCACTTACCAAAAAGAAATGTCAACAAGTAGACCTTAACACGCCTTATCTGGGTGGATGAAAAGAACGCCTCCCCTCATATCTCCAACAACTTATCGTTAGGCCTCACCACACATTGGTTGGTATAAAGAGACCTCAATAGTTGGAGCCATGTTTAATACTTTTTTTTGATGAAGTAAGTGAGTATTATTATCAAAAGGCATCAAGAAGGTGCAGATGTTACAAAGAAACAGAAAGTATCAGCCCAGAAATGTGAACAAAAGCTCTATCATAAGACTAAGGAGCCGATAAATTCCAAAAAGGAGCCATGTTTAATACTGAGTTAGCACAACGTTTTTTTCTTTTCCTTTTTCTTTTTTTCCGTGATTGGTAAGTTAGCACACAGTGAGTAAGCTGTTGTACCGGCTTACAAAGTATTTGGTAAACCGAAAGTTGGTAAATACATGCCTCTAAGTGCACATCTCAACTATTTTGTGTAGCTATTCTCAGTTTGCCCCTAGTTTTTCAAAAGTGAATAGTACATAGCACGGTAATTTAAGTACTTGATCCACCCAACACAACCAAACAAGCTAGTGCCCCTACTTGAAGATTTTTATGACCACATTCTTTTTCTAACTTTTAGATCCCATGTGCAATAATACATAAAGCAGCCTAAATGAAAGGCAACAACTGTAGCCTAAATGAAATAGAACTCTATCTAAATTTTCTAAGCATATCTGGACAACTGGCTAGTTCTTTCTTATGTAACTGCCAGAAAATTCTAACTGAGATTCCTAACACTTTCTTCCCTGAATGCCCTTGTATCGTTAATTCTCTAACATCCTTAAATTCTTTATTATCAAGAGTTCATCGGTTATCACAACTCTACTCATCAGACTTCTACTGCAGAAAACAGACAACATAATGATAAAAACTAACTAGAGATTGACTTGAATTGTTTCACCCTCGCTAACCCGTACATCAATTTCTTTTTAGCTTAGTGGTCAAGAGAGAATAGATCTTTAAACAACATGACATAGATAGTTTCTCTAACCATGCATAATAACCAACATGGAACTTATGACTTGCATGAGTTCTCAAAATTTCCAAGAGATATATTTAAAATAACTAACCTTCCGAGAATCAGCAAGCATTTCTTCTACATGGCCCTGAAGCTGAACATCGCCAGGAACTCTACAGATCTGACCATTTTTCTCGAGTTCTTTATAAATCTCTAGCAAACGAGTATAGCGATTACAGCATATAACCCTAAGCAGCAACTTCTCAACGTCAATACAACTCTGGTCAAGGGAAAATTCTGCTTCTTTTCCTGTCAGAGGATCAATGGCAAATGTGCTATGAAGACACTTAATTCGCAGATCCAGTCCAGGTTCAATTTTTATAAATGGGCACGTTCCAATTTCGGATGTGCTGGAGTTTTTATCCAAATCCAACCAATACAAAATCTTCAGCCCAGGAGTACGCAAACTAGCAGAATCAGACTCCCCATCTTGTGATATTTGTG